ATCCTTATAGGATAGTGTTTGAAGAAGCCCAGCTGGGTAGGGTGGTCATGGACTTGACAGAGATGACAGAGCCTTTCCAAAGTAGAGGAAAAGGAAGTTGCTCTGTTGTAAGCAAGAAAAAGAAATGGTGTGTGTGAATACACATGCTGTGACAAGCGTATGTAAGGACACATGTCCTGTCTTTTCCTACTGACAAAGTGGGTATTTACCATTTCTGTGATAGATTGCCTTTACCCAGCAATTACAAAGCCTTTGGATGAGGGGTCCAAAACCTACATTTTAGAGCTACTACTGTTTGCTAGCAGTGAAAGTTCATTGTCCAAAACACACCACATGGAACACTCAACCCCCAAAGTGGTTGTTGTCTCAAATAGAGTTGGTTGGGAAGAGTAAAAACCTAGCAGCAGACAAGACTTGAACTATTAATACTCAGACCTTGGGTAAGGTCTTTGGATCACAGATGTTCAAATCTGGTCCTAAGATATTTATTTCTAGAATTTATTACCCTTATTCTTGTGCATTGGGAGGAGTGTTGCCAGGGAGGTGTCAGGGAAGTGATTCTTCCCCTCTGCTCAGCACTAGTGAAGCCACACCTGGTGTGTGGTATGTGATCAGATTCTGTGCTGTGTCCAAATTCTGGGCTCCCCAGTGCAAAGAAGACATGGCCATGCTGAAGAGAGTCCTACAGAAGGCCACAAAGATGATGAAGGGACTGGGGCATCTCTCCTATGAGGAAAGGCTGAGAGAGCTGGGACTGATCAGCCTGGAAAAGAGAAGGCTCAGAGGGGATCTCTCCAATGTGTGTAACTATTTGAAGGGAGGGTATAAAGATGGAGCCTGACTCTTTTCAATGATGTCCAGTGACAGAACCAGAGGAAATGGGCAACTGCAACACAGGAGGTGCTGTCAGAACATCAGGAAATACTTTTTAACTGTGTGGGTGACTGAGCCTTGGAACAGGTTGCCTGCAGACTTTGTAGAATCTCACTCTAAGCTTAAAGATACTCAAAAGCCATCTGGATTTTGTCCTTGGCAACTGGCAGTAGGTGACCCTGCTTAGCCAGGGGTGTTGGACCAGATGACCTGTAGCCATCCCTTTCAATCCCAGCCACCCTTTGATTCCCCTTTTTACAGCTTTTCTGTGTTCCTAGACCTGGGTTACAACAACCCAAGGCTCCACTGGAGGCAGAGTGGCTGGAAATCTGCCTGCCACTAAAGGACCTGGGTGTGCTGGCTGACAGTGGCTAAATGTGCTGAACAGGGGCCAGTGTGTGCTCAGGTGGTCAAGAAGGCCAACAACATCCTGGCTTGAGGAGGTTCAGAGGGGACCTTATCACTCTCTGTAACCTGAAAGGATCCTGTACCAATGTGGGGGTCAGTCGCTTCTCTCACTTAACAATGCACCGGACAAGAGGAAGTGCCCTCAAGCTGTGCCAGGGTAGGTTTAGATTTGATATTAGGAAAAACATCTTCACCAAAAGGTGGTCAGGCATTGGAACAGGCTCCTCAGGGAAGTGGTGAGGTCACCATTTAATACCTACAGGTATGTAAAAGACTTGTAGATACGGCACTCAGGTGATGCCTCAGGTTTTAGCTTTTACATTTTTCAGATTCTGTACTGTTTCAGTGTGTAGTTCTGAGCTTCATATTTTGAGGATAGCAAGCTCTCATCATAGAGTAGGTAGACAAAAGACCCTTGGTCCTGGGGACCATGGACAAATGATCGAAATTTCACGCCCAAGAGTGTAAACAACAGTGGAATGAAGAGAGAAAAACAAGAAGGATGGGACTTCATAATCTAAAGCTATAATTGGATAATTAAGTCCAATATGCTAATGGACCAGAACTTAGGAAAGTGAAAGACCTCATGACTGGTCATCCATTTTGGGTTCATCTTGGGCTCTTGTACTGCCCAAGGTGTATCCATTGAGGCCTTATCTAATAATACCTACTTTATTCTTTAACTCCGTCTAGTCTCTGTTCTAGGTCAGCCTTCACAAGGCATCACAGGGACATGGTTTAGTGATGGACTTGGCAGTGCTGGGTTAACAGCTGAATTAGATGATCTCAGGAGTTGTTTTCCAGTATAAATGATTCCATGATTCACCAGCCTGAAAAAGAATACTGCTGTTCCAGGGTGAGTCTGGTGCTAACAGCCAGGCTATTACAGTTATGGCGTTAATTTATATAATTGCCATCAATTCCCCTCAGTCAGAGGTGTAATAATGTTATAGATCACTGATGATCTTTCCCCATCGTGTTGCCTTTGAACACAACTTTTTGGAAAAGACCGGTAACTGCATCTTTACATCCCTGCTTTTCTCTTTGTTGTTACAGCAGTTCAGTTATGCTGTAACTATTCCCACACACATGCACATTCATGGTGTGAGATGGTGTAGGAGTAAGAAGCTCTTCACCCACAGGACTCCAAGAAAGCAACATTAGTCTTTGTCTAGCCTATTATGATAACTTACTGTACATCATGTGAAAAAAAAAGTGGTGATGCTTTGACCAATAATGTCACTTACTGTAGTTACTTGATAAATATGCATGAATGTAGTAACAAGCAGAGGTCTACACCTACATTGCTTCTCCAACAACTGGAAAGTTGAATACTGTTTTAGAAACTATTTTGTTATGGTATTATTAAAAGTGGCATATTGTTGGCTCTCATTTATTCTGAAATTTGTGTACTGCTCTGTAGTAAGTACCTTCCTAAAGATTTTAAAACTAATTCTAGACTACCTGCCAGCAGATATATAAAGGAGAAGAAAATTTTACTCCATTTCTTATTATGGTTTGGGTATTTTAGAAATAAACATCATCTTTCAGAGATTAAATTGAGAAATCCTGTGCCTGTTTGCTAGCATTTCTGAAATGTTTACATGTATTTTTCATTCAAGATCCATTGAAGCGTCTGGAGATACAGAGGATCACACTATCTGTCACCCTGAGGCAGCTGATCCCACAAGCCCCACTGTGTCCTTCCGCTGAGACACACCTCTGTTGAAGACCACTGCAAATATTAAGACCATGCAGTTGCTCTGGTTTCTGCTGACTGCACCCAACCATGTTGCTGTACCACAGCTGGTTTTGGTTTTTAAGTGCACTATACAATTGAAGCAAAATCAACACTATTAGAAAATTACTACCTGGATCACTGTGCTCAAAACAATTTATTCATTCTGTCATATAAGCAGTTCCAAATGAGGACATAAATGCCCAGAGATAATTTTAAGTGTTGCTTTCTTCTTTCTTAAGAAACAGGCAAATAAGATATATGATGTTTTTAACAAGAATACTCTCTTTCATCTCGCCTCCCTCCCAGCTCTCAAAGATTAGAGATCCAAGTTGTGCAAAAGAGCTGTGAGAAGTGGTACATCCTAAGTTTTGTCCTCTTGCTGGAGCAATCATTTTATTCCTGTTCCCTGGTTGTGCAGAAATACCCAGCTACTCCTATCAGGAAATGTGATTTCATGGGAAATCCATTTACTTCAGTTATGGGCAGCTGGAGAAGCACACTTGTCTTTCAGTGGGCTTCATCCCCTGCAACATTCTCTGAAATCAAGTATGCTTCTTGCAGTCAGCCCCTCCTCTGGTTACCATACAAAGCAGCTAAATTTCTACTTGAAAATTTGGGTCTACTTTGGGTCTACTTGAATATTTCCTTCTCCTATTGTCTACACTTTAAAATACTTAAACACAGGAGATGGTCCTAGGATAGACAGCATGGGAGGATTTCATTGTAAATGGGAGATTGTTAGGTAGGCCATAAGAGAAAATATATTCTTCCTTGTTTTCTGTAAGTGAAAAGGCCCCATGTTTTCTTGTCCAATTGCCATTTCTAATATAAGGCAATACCAAAGTAACGAGTCTGAATGAAATAATTTCAGTTAAAAAATCCTGAGAATGCAGTGTGCCAATATGGCAATGACTATTTCCCTGATGCACAACTCTTAGTTTCAACTTGAGGTGTTTCTGCTTTCTAAGGAGCTTTTACTTCCTCAATACAGAAGCCTGTGGTTCTTCACCATCCACTTTCTCAAACAGTGAAGGATTTTAACTTCATATGTTAACTTCCACTTACTAAAGACATGGATGTCCTCTTTCAACCTCCTGTATGAAAAAAACTCACCATCCATCTTCACTGGACACAGTGTTTACTGGTTTAATTCTCAGTATTTGCCCTCTCTCACTTGAACAAGAAGAAAATACAATGAGAAGCAGGTCTGCCTGTAGGACTGTGGAGGAAGGGAAGCATGCTGCAGGACTGCATCTAATGTAAGGAAGCACAGGACAGCCATTCCCAAGCCTAACCAGTTGCATTGCCATACCCACCAGCAACTCACTGTACTGACTGGATTCATTAGCCATGTGTCTCACAACAGAGATGACTAGGAACTGTTCAGCAGTACAAAGGCGGAAAGATGGAGAATAGCCAGGTACTTATCAATGTCCAGCATCTATTGCTTTAAAAAATTCCAAATCTGTAGCTTGTATATAAATCTGACACCTTATTAATTGCATCTTAAGAACCAGCACGTGTAGATCTCTATGGCACCCAGGCTGGCTCTGCACTTCAGGACTCCGTTCTGGAGCAGCAGCCAGGTGCACTACAGACACAAGCTGGCTGAGGGCAAAGGCAGAACTTAACCTGGGGACTGAATTCTGATCATTTGTACAGTCATAATGTCAGGTGCTGAGTTACTGCAACCAGATACGGCCATATGAGGCCAGAACAACAAGGTCAAGAGCCAGGACTTACCTTCCTACCTGTCTCAAACTGTGATTTCAAGTCTACTACTCCAACGCTGTATGAATTAGTAAGAAGAGAAAAATGCAAGTCAGCTTTGCTGCAAGCCTAGTCCTGAGCAACAGAGGGAAAACCAGATTGCTTTCAATGACAATATGGCAATCAGCCTGATGAAGTTAAATCTTTACTTTAATTGGTTGCCCAACATACATGTTTTAACATTCTGTACTAAATTAGCCAGCATGCACACAGTAATTGGACCAGTCAGTGACTTTCTCCTTTCACTATATACATACACAAACAGGAACACCACACGATTGGACAAAGGAAAGCAATTTGTTAACCAGATACAGCTAGCAAGTAACATTTTTTTCCTCTAGAAATGTTTTTTCCTGCAAAATCACAAGTGTGAAGACTTTCTTTCAAGGCTTGAAGAACATTGCAGTCTTCCAGTGAAAAGGCTAACAATAGCCACTGTAGCTGAAATGAGATAAAATTTGTTGAAAATCCATTCCAAGCAAGAGTGAAATTGAAAGAAAATTGCCTGCAATGCAGCATAGGGAAAAGGGACTTTTGGAGACAAGCTGAGCAGGTAAAAAGATGGGTTTGAATCCAATTCTTAACGTCCTCAGCTTAGTGTAAAGGAGGAGGAGGTTCAGAATCAGATCCAACATTTCACATTCACTGGTAGAGTAGTACCTAAAGAATTGTTTGCTTACTTTATTTGAAGAACTTTAGTTCTGTGTCAACACAGTCATAGAAAAGATCCACTACTTCAGCTGGATCCAGAATCTCTGTACGAGAAAGGATATCTTCCATTGCTTCTAAACCTTGTTTTTCAAGGTCTAACATAATCCTCATCAGTTTCTGGCCTTTATCCTAAAGGCATGAAACAACCAAACTCAGTTAACCAGCAAACAGGCTCATTAAAGCATTTTACTGTTTCTCTTTGTTACAGAGATATTTTCAAATATTTTTAAAAACGAAAAAGACATTTTAAGTACAAACTATTTCTGTTATTAGTTTCTTTGGATGGCCAAAGGCTAAAAGTCCTGGACATTTTATGCATTAAGAAAAATAACCAAACAGGAGTTGCTAAGTTAAAAGCAAAGAAGGAAGAGGGTGAGAGATGAATAGAGGAACAGAGGAAAATTATATAAGGTTTATATATATAATAGAGGTAAAGCGAACTTGTAATCCCACTAACAGAACTATGAGAGAAGACTAGAAGCCCTAAGAATTGTACAGGTTGTGGTATTTGCATGTGCATCCCTCAAATCAATACCTGCAAGATGATGAATAGATCTGAAATGATGTGTCATGTAACAGTATTTAGACTCCAGATCCCAGGGAGGTTTTGTGTGCCATTCTGACTTACTGCTCTTTGTGTTTCTAGAAAATTTACTCCTGGAAAAGGTGTAATTATCCAAATGTTATTGAAACTCTACCTTTTTTTTTTTTTTTTTTTTAATAGAGAAGTGCTGCTTGTTTTGCTTGCAGCTTTCAAAACTGAGTTTCAGGGGAAAACAAAGTCATTTAGAATGAGTGGTGGTTCTGAGTTTTTCAGGTTTTTTCTCAGCATTTTTTCCAGAAAGAGTAAAGCATCTCATCTAAGGTTTAGGTTCTTGGATTGGCAGTTTTCATAGCATGAAACCTGAGTAGAAACTGCATTTTCTTTTCTACCATAGCTACTGGTGTCACATTGTGGGGACTTCAACAGGCAAGAGTCCACAAGATGCAAAGATTCCTCTTCCAGGTCTTCCCTAAATCAACATCTTGCATAATGATATGAGAGCCAGCTGCACATTAAAACAATGTTACCAGAGGCCACAGATTTTAAATTACACCATTCCAAGAAATTAAAAATCCAGCCCAAACTGCATTTAAATAATGTTTGTACTAGCAAAGGTTATCATAGCTTCCTTAATCAATAGTGGGTAGATCTGAATGTGTTATAATTGCAGCAAGACTCTGACCCATGCAAATACACACAGAGGAAAATTGTAGAAAAGCAAATCCTCTGTGGAAGTTCAACACAACTATGTGAGGGTCTTCCACAAATTTCCTGAATACCCATAAAAGCTTGACAGGTGTGCCTTGGTGATCTTTCCCTCTGTTTCACTTCCTTAAAACCACTTATCCAGTTTACTGCTGTAGTTGTAATTGCAAATGTTGAGAAGTTATTGAACTAACTGCCCAATGACACCAAAAGTTGTAGCTCAACCATTTGGAAAAGCAATACAGAATAATCCCCTTCCTGACTTTACTTATTCCAAAATTATTTGCATAAGTGATCTTATGGATCACTTATGCAAATAAAAACACTAAGTTTTTACCATGGAAGGTTTTCAGCCCTTGGGTATGTACTGCATGGCACTGCAAAGCGTCCTTTTTTCTCACATGGCATTTTCAGTTAAAAATTAACAGAAATGCCTTGAATTCCAAAGCACAAGACTTGCCAAACTGTCACATGCAAATTATTCCTTCAAAAAAAGTACCTTTCCAAACTATGTAGTTCTTAATCCAGCATATGATTTAAAGTACAACATTCCTGCCCTCTTCCTAGCACATAATTCTGATACCACGTTGCACTAGCATCCAGTGTTCTAATCACTAAAAAGACTGTGCATAGTGAGGATTGAACAAGATAATCAGCTTAACAGTCTGACTTTTCATTTTGTAAAAGTAATGGAACAGAGCTATACTTTCAGGATAACAAAAACTATGCAGAATAGTTTGTCCTTCAGAGGGCATCATTATCCAAGCTAAACTCTCAAGGATTCTAAGAATATTCAGAGAATGTTTTTCAGTGAGTGACTGTGAACTAAGGTATGGAGTTGGGAATCTACATTGACTTCAGCTCTTTAATTCCACGTCCCACAGCTCTTACCTGATCGCTCTCCAGGAGAGATCGGGCCCATTCATGTGCCTTGTACAATTCATGCCTACGATCTGGTTTCTCCTGGAATCGAGGTATCTTTTTAGCAGGATCATCATTGCCAAAAGAAGGAGACTGCACTTTTGGTACTAATTTTACATCGTCAACAAAAATAAAGGGTTTAAATATGGACCTGAAAGAAATGAGAATTACTGCTTGCAGTAATAAGAGAGCTCTCATATATGTTATTGAAAGGTTTACCAGGTCATTTTAAAACAACACATATAGAGCAGCACAGGTAATTCATCTACACTAGGCATGGGTAAGGTTAGAGACTTGGTACTGGTCAAGCAAAACAAATCTACGTGCTTGAAAAGAACTGGGCTTGGCAATTATTGCAAAAACTTATTTCCCCTTTTACCGATAAGATTCTCTGGTGTTTTTATGCCAGTTCTGACACTTCTTTAGAAGAGTAGCACTGATCTTCTCCGAGTTTTTTGTAAATCTCAACATTCCGCCTCACATCAGTTTTTCTCCTCTGTTCCCACTGTCATCTCTCCTCCTCCTTCCAGATTTAAGTTTTATTAAAATCAGAAAAAACCACTTGCGTGGAGCAGGGAAGATTACATATCTTGCTCAATATCAGAGGATTTTGCATATAAACAGCAGCACTTTAGAATTCTACTTCAAGAGCTGGGAGAAGACATGGCTACCAATATTGTGACATTTCTCAAACTATTTTAACGTTGAATTTTGGTTCTAATCTCCTAAGAGAGACAAAAAACCCCATCAATACAGAATCTTCATTCCTGAAAAGCTGAAAGTAGGTTTTGGCAAGTGCATGGAACAACTGCCTTCCTTCTCTTTAGATGCAGAACAACAAAGCAGCCTGCATTCTGCAGTGAAGAACCTGCCAAAAGTGAAGACTTCTGCAACACACAATTAATAACCACTGCCCGTGTACAGTCAGCAGGTTCAGTGCTGCAACCCTTTCCATCACTGTCACAAAGCCTTGCTGACTAAGAATTTACGTGACTCACTAACTGCACTTAAAATAATTCTTTCTTAATGCATTACAGTGTCAAATAAAGCAAGAAAGGTCTCTAAACAAGGCTTTTAAGGCAGGTTTCTGACCTTCAAAAGGACAGAAATCCCAACAAAATAATTTGAAGCCTTGCTCCTTTTTATCGCAGAGGATTTGCATCAAGTCACAGAAAAGTTTGTGTAAGCAAGTTTAAAACTGACACTTAACCCTGTAAGTCTGAGTTGCATAATGCAAGGTGGGTGGAAAGTCCCTTTGGCATGGATGACTTCCACAGCCCTCAGTAAAACCTAACAATTACTACCAGTCCTCTGACAGGAATGACAGTCAGCTGTTCAAGGGCACCATTTTCTTCTCCCCATAACCTCTCTACCTCAATGCAAGTGGCAGCTCTCCTGAATAACTGCAAGTGGTTTAGTTTAATTTCCTTGAATCCCACGTGGATTCTGTTTAAAACATAAGATAATTCATTAGTTCTTTGATGATCTAGCCCATGAGTTCCCTAATCTCCTCAGCTACTTTCAGCTAGAGAAGACACCATGTAAACCAACTGGAAATTGTCCCTCAAATAAAAGACATGCTTGTGACCCCAGCAACTTGCAGATGTTTTGCTGTGTTAACATTTTGATGTCGTATTAAGCTACCTAGAGTACACAAGCCCTCTCTGATAGTTAAAACATTTGTTGGAGTTTTGCATCTACCTGTTCAAGAGAAGTGACTTGGGAAGTCCCCAACTTCATAATCTCAACAACTTTCCAAGTGGAAAGCAACTACACTGGAATTCCTGGCTCCTCCCTAAACTGCATTTCCCCTAGAAGCTCGGTAACACAGGACTGTCAGATTGCACATCTCGGAGCCCTGACTGCATTTCTGGTCAGAACATGCTCTTGAAGTATGCTCCGGTTTGGGTGGCAGGGTTTGTTTGTTACCTTTCAACCCATCACCTGCTCTGCACCCCAGGGACCCCAGTGCTGTGGCTTACCTTGAAGGGTCTGGCGTGCCAGTGAAGTAGTGAATACAGGGAAAACTAGGGTCCTGAGGCAGAACAGACACTATGCTAGCTGTAGTAAGGAAAGATTCAGAGTCCACACAGACACCACTGTCCTTGTCACGCAGGACATCAATCATGGCTTGTGCAGAAACGTCACCTATATAGAGGGGGGAAAAAAATTCCTCAGTGTTCAATGGCTTGGAGCCCAGGTAAGGATTTTAGTCTGAACAAGATTTGGCCTAAAATGGCCCCTGACACTTGATATGGGCATGTCACAAATCCCAGTTAATAGTTTCTACTTAAGCAATGAGCATTCAGAAAGAACGTGCCTAGCTAGTAAATGAGAATGGTAATAAGCATTAATTAGGCATGGCAATTGCCAGGTAGGGAGAAATGCTATTATAAAGGTACATTTTCAGGAAGAAGGCTGTAATACTGCTTTAGCAGTCACTATGAACAGACTACTTACTTAAAATGTCCATTTTCCTCTACCCAAGCGGGACAGAATGAGAACACTGATTTTCCACTTCTCAATTTCCATTCTCAGTTGGAAATTTGAAACATCATCTTGCAGTCACAGAATGTTACAGCAGCAGACCTAGGCACCAAGATTTTTCTCCAAACCCCTATCTAAAGGAATCTCACCATGTTTCCTGCCTGTGTTCATCCCAGCTTTGCCCCCACTGCCCCTCCATGTTTTCCCACATGTTCCTTTTGCAGATCAGGCTTCTTCCCCGTACCTTCTCAGGCTCTGCAGACTCAAACCTCCATGCACAGGTGCCTCAACACACCAGGAGACACAGAATGACTCAGCAGCCTGCAAGATTTTCAGCCACAGCCATCTGTCTGTAGGGGCCCTCAGGGTTTTTAGTGCTACAATCCAGATTTATTAAGATCTTTTACCTATAGTCCTTCAGAGTTACTGTATCTGCTCCAGACACTAACCACACCCCCTGCAATTCTACAGCCTTAGGAAGAATTCTGCAGTGCAACAAATATCGCACCCCTACACTCTTCGAACACATGTTGGTACATGTGAAAATGCCAACAGTCCAGTAAATTCACACCTGTAGTAAAGGGCTTTTTAGAAAATGATAATTTGTGCTATTTTTCATGCATGAAAGAGCAGATATGCATGCAGTCCCATGCACTGCTGCAGGCTGTCCATTTCAGAGGTATTTTGGCCAGCTGCAGCGAACTGAAGTCAGTCATAAATTTGGGTCAGGAAATGAACCCTTCCTTTGATTGCAGAGAGTAGGCACAATGTCTGTTCCAGTAGCTTTGTTCTGCTCAACAAAGAAAAAGGGACTTCAGTTTGCAACTGCTCTTCCTTAAACTGTGCTCTTGAAACTTTCCCCAAAAGGTTAAATCTACATTTTCCCAAAATGCAGATTGCACTAAGCTCAATCTTTGATATGTGAGGCTATTTTTTTTTTATGGTATAATTTTAGCGTTAGGTATAGCCACTAAAATTACAGAAAAGCACAGATGCAGTGGCACATCATGTACATCACAGCACTGAAGGGAGTGAGTTTGTAATTGTAATCCTGTTTTGAAACCTTGGGGGTGACATTAAGGGTTTCATCCTAAATAGTGGCAAATTTAGGGACAGTCTTTAATTCAGATCTTCCTTCCTACAGAGTTCACGTGTAGAGGTGCTCTCAGTCACATGTAGTTCTGGTCAGAATGCCTGAAAAGGAGGCAGCAGTGACTAAAATCCCAGTGTGCCCACAGAAAGATAGTTCAACACTTACCACCTTGCTTTTCTAGGCTCTCCCTGCCAGAACAACAGGCTAAATGGTCATCAGCAAGAGAAAACACTTCAGAAAAATTGAAGTCTGATTCTCCATTCCACCAGCCTTGACTTTTCACATAATTCCTTAGTTCAGGATGCTCAGCATCTATTTTTGTCGTTAATGAAAGCTGATTGCAAATGCATTTCACTCCCTCTAGAAAGAGCCACATATTAAACAAGAGCATTAATACAGTTTTCCTGGGAGAAGCTGGAAAGAAAATGTCATATCAATTAGGAAACAAATTAATCCATTGGTTAGTATGTACATTTGGCATGGCTGTGTAACTGTGTAATGACACATACACAGAATTACCAATCACTGCAGGTTGCAGAGCTCAGTCCTCTGTGCCCTGCTGAGACACTGACACCTGCGACTAACAGTGGGATTTGGACAGAATGCCAGTTTCACAATCCACACCTCACACCTTCTGACCACAAAGGAATGGTGGTATCCAAGTGCCAAAGGCACCTAATCTTTTTTTCTAATGGCATATTCCCCACAGACACAAGAAGGCTTGAGATCTAACTTGATTTCAAAATATATTTCAGCAGAGCTGCATTTAATGAACCTTCCTTGCCCTTCAAAATTAAGAATTTGGAAAATGTTTTTAAAATAATTATAATTGCTTTAAGCTTCCCAATTGAGAAACAGTTTCACTGTAAGCTGCAAGATAAGTTCAAATTACAATTCTTTTATCTTAAATTTTAAAGTGGCATGAAGTAAAAAGAATGTGTAAGTAGCCTCCAAAGAATACTGAATGTTTTGGGTTTTTTTTAGTTCCTTTTATCAAAAATACTGCAGTGCTCATAACCATATATCCAAAGCACGGCAGTGGTTGCTGCAGATATTCCTCAGAGAGAATAAAGCAAATGTATTGGAAGCCAGAGAAAGAGCTGATAAAGTAAAACTATAAAATAAAATAAACAGAGATTCTGGAATTTGGCACAAATAATTTCTTAGACAGAAACAAAACCAGTAGTTGTGGAAGTTTTTAATACTGCCTTCCAAAAAAGTTAGCTTGCTTTTGCAATGTCCCATGCGTCCAATTTAAATAATGAGTAACAACTTCAGGAAATTCTGTGCATCATTCTGCAAAAAAGTCCCTGTCATCCACTTCTGACTTACACTAGGGTCACTGATGGCCTATTCTTATTCACCCTTTCAAACAGCATACTTTTCAGGAAATTTTCTTTACTTGAGTGATGAGGATATTTGTATTCATGTCCAGCTAGGCAAGCCGCTCTTTAAGAGCTCTTTAAGTATTACATTTATAAACTCATACAAAATAATATTTTGTGGATTTGATCTACCACTAAAAAAAAAAAAAAAATCAAATACTTTTTTCCACTGAGACTTAGGAACATTAGTAGAAAGGAGTTTGAAGTATTTATTCTTAAATTATTTTCAGAGAGTTGCTTGATAAACACTCACTATAAGCTTTACAGTCCTGCAGCAGTAATATTAGAACTCTAAGGATAGTCAGGAAAAGATATGCCTTCACACTGGGGAATGACACATTTTCCCCATCTTAACAACATTTGAAAGCTTAAGAGGCACACTTATGATTGCAAAAAAGACCCCTCTGAACAAAGTATGAAATATAGAGTTCTTACATAGCCAGCAGCCTTTCCTGCAGGGCTGCAGGAGGAGGAACTACTTATCTGCAGCTCACAGGGACCTCCTGAAGAGCAATGTGCCAGTAGAAACCAGAACAGAGCTGCAGAATCATTTCAAAAAGCTGCAAGCAGCAGATGAAGGCAACAGTTCATTTGCTGGGAAGGAGGATGTGAAGGTTATGTATTGCTGATGCAGCTAAAACTGCTAAATAAAACCCACTGTTGTTCAAGTATCAGGCAGGCAGGTCAAGAGAAGAAGGCAGGCTGTCACTGCATAATCCCAGGAACCTCAGGAGTCAGCTGCTTGCCAGAACTGGGGTTTCATCAGGACAGCATGTTCACTCTTCCCTCCTCCATGTTTGGTATCCGTTCGTACCAGGTAACCTGTAGGTATCCTTAAAACGCAAGCTTTACTTGGGAAAATGCCGCCTCTGTTATTCCTGTTTGGTGGCAGGGACTGACAGCAGGCCATCACACCACATTACACAGCCTGGTGATATTTCTTTGCTCCTTCCCATATCTGCTATCTCCTACCTTTGATGATTTAGGGGGAAAGGAGGAGAAAATTGAATGGATCTGTCAGAGCTCAAGTCATGGATGACAAAAGTCCTCTTGAACACTCTGAATTTTCACTTCATTCAAACATGAGTACATTTTAAAAAGCTCTACTGTTACGAAAATAAAAATCCCTCCAAAATTAAGATGAGACTAAATTAAATAGAGGCCTTAAACAACCATATTACATTAAGGCAATCCATATATACTGGAAAAGTTTTAACTAAATTCATCCACTAAGCCAATGAATTCTAGAAGTTAGTTTGGCAGCTCTGGCTTCACACGTACAGAAAAAGAAACCATTTACAAATTTAAAGAGCAGAAAATTATTGTTTTGCATCATTTAAAAAACAGGGATATGAAGGGAGTATATCTGTTTCAGTAAAGGAACCACCACCAGCAAGCCTTTCAATTTATCACCTGACAAAAGCCCTTTTGTTAAAACTATCAATGGTTATCCTTTCCTCACAATATTTTAGATTTGTAAGTAATAATCTGGGCATGAACTCCATCAAAATAACCATCTGACCTGTTCCAACAGAAAATAAATCTTGGAAAATACACCTATCAAATATAAAAGTTATGATTATTACATAGTTTATGCATAAAGGCAAAAATCTCCATCTTCGCAGAAAATGCTAAGTCACATCAGCAAATGCAAATCAACACATAAAAAAGTCAGAGTAGTACAAATATAGAAAACTAAAATTGGTGATTTAATCAAACACTTGCATTCATTAGTCACTTATTTAAACTCACTGACTTTAAGACCAATTCTTCCAAGACAACTCTTTACCGCTATTTTTAATAGGATTTGCTGTGAGTTCTAAACTGACCTGTGATTTTTTCAGCTGCCCAATACTTTCCAGAAGTCTCCAGTATCCAGGCTTCATTTCTGTCCACAATCAAAAATGCACTTTGGAAAGTATGGCATGAACTCCCATCTTCATAGTAATTTCCACCTTGTCCATGTTCTTCCAACAGAGCAACTATTACATCCAATGCTTCTTTAGCTGTTGCACCCCTTTCTAGGCCAAGTCTATAAGCAAAGGGTAAAACAGAGATTCAGAGAGGAATGATACATAAGATCTCCTTAAGTTATGATTTTTAAACATCAGCACTCATCTGAGTTTAAAATATTTAAGTGCCTAGTATGTCTAATATAAGAGTTCTTGCTTTAATTAGTTACTAAAGGATGAGCTACAGAATTATTTGTTTCTAGTCTTGATTTTCTATGCTGGTTCTTTACTCTCAAACCTATCATAGCTGGCTTTTAGGTTTTTTTAAGAAGTCCAGTTACCAACCAATGATCTCAGCTGCACTGTAAACATGCAGTGCTCTATTTGTCTCCTCCTCAGGCAGAATACATTTGAAGGACAATTTGCAAGTATTTTTTTAAGTAACAGCTGTACCAAGGTTACTTTTCTGTACAAGGGTGGTAAATTGTAAATTAATATTACCAGCTATTAAAAAAGAGAAGGAGTATTCAATATTACAGCCTCTCTACAACCTCTCTTTCCCAATGCTCTGGCTGACCATGGAAACTGGGTGTTATCCTTATATGCATACTACATTCTGTAAAGACAAGCATTTTGCACAGTCATACTTCAGAGCTCCTGCAGAGGATTCCCCAAAAAAAATATTTGAATACCAGATATGGCTTTTGTCAGAAGTAAGAGCAACCACATGTCTGAAAGAAAAGAATTTTAAAAGGAAGTTGAAGCAAAGCAAGGGTATTTTATGGAAAAGCAAACTGAGGTGTGGTAATAAATTTTACAAAGCCATAGGGAATGACTGTATCCTGCCTTGAGTAAGTGGCATTAAATAATCCCTTGATATAATTTACAGCCCTAATTGAATCAACAACAAAAGCAGTGACCAGAAGTTGAAATCAGAACTGCAAACGATTTCACTGGTTCCAAAATCCAATTACTGGTAATGAGGAAATGCAGTGTTTCAAACAACAGCGTATCCAGCTTCCATCCTTTGGGAGTTACCTGGATCAGTCCAAAATTTCTCTCTGTTGTTTTGTCACCTTAATATTTTCCTCTGTGTTTGTCTTTCTCTAACTGCTCTACGGACAAAATAATTTTGACTGATGGATAATTCAGAGAAAATCACTTTTTCAGACATAAGTACTATCTGTGCTAGCTCTTTCCATTTCTCTTGAAATCACATGACAAGGACAAGAAAACACTACTCAGTTTCTTTCCTAAAAACTACAGTAAACAAATCAGGTCCTGATAATTTGAATACAGATTTGTTGATCTCAGTACTTCTCTGCAGTGGCTCTGCATTGTTAAATACTTGGCTACCATTAGCCTTGTTTTAGGCTGAATTATTGAAAGCAGTGTTTGCATCTCTCTCAGCAGCATCTATTTATCACTAACTGACAAAGAAGAGCCAAGAGCCAACTAGAATTTTAAGGCTTAACTTAAAGTGACAGTTCCTCCCCCATCATCTTCTTACTTTGCATTTATAGGGTCTTTCCCTCTCATCTTTTAGCTGAAACTTGTTAGCTGAAACTTGTTTTGTACCGGTGACTCCATTTTTAGTCCTTCTGCATTTATGCTTTTCCTTCATTCTTTTCATCACTGGTGCAATTGCTTTTTCAGACAATACAGCAATGCCAGTCTTTGCACATACCAATAGAGCTATGCCAGTCTTTGCACATACCAGAGACACAATTTAAAAGCCAGTCCAAAAGCATGTCTTATTTGTTCCCTAAAAGCAATCCCTGCCACAGGTAAATGAATGGACTGAAAACTACCTTGGTGACCATACAGTCACTAGATTCAGTGATAATCTGCTCCCTTCTCCCCAGTTAATGACCAAAACCATTAGGTTATAATTAGATCAAAACCTGCCAAGAGACATAACATCCCACTAAAACTTTAATGTCTCCCTGAAATTTTCCATTTGAGATGGTTACAGTCCCGCTTTCGCTGTCAAAACCGCAGCAGGGATTCAGGCTGAAGAAGAACCCTTTAGGTATTATTTTTTTATAAATGGCTCCAATGTTACATTTATTTCCATTAAGTAGAGGTCTAGGATCCGCTTTTGCTTGGCTGCTCCTATCTGTCAGTCACAAGGGACAGGAAAAAAAATAAAAGGATAAAACCCATCCTACACAACAACCACACAACTCATTTCCACAAAATTAAATCTTGTCAATTATCTCAGCATCAGTGTCCTGGGCAACCACAGCATAATCCTCCCACTAACACACTTCAGAGTACCCATCAAGGTGAGCTGGAAGAACAGTTAGAAGCAATTTCAATGCCAGATGAGAGCTTGAATTACTTATTAATAAAATTGCAGTGATTTAGTACAATCCACTGCCTAAGTACCTCCAATATGCTGTCATATTGTCAAAACAATATTATCTTGAGCTTTTCAACTTCACCTATCAGTTACATAATGCAGGCTTTCCAAATTAACTAACATACTTGATGACATTCTACTTTATTCAGTTTTGAGGTCTCTAAGGAGAGAAATGGTAAACAAATTAATACCATCTTAAAGAGCATTCTTGACTCCCTGCCAAGATTGGCATCTCTGTGTGGCTCTGAAAAAATTATTGCACCTGTGATGAAAGAACAAATAAATAATACAAACACATAGGGATTAAAATTAAGACAAAAATGCAAAAATAAGGGTGTAATTTACAAGTTTCTCCATATTTATCTTTTCTATGATAATGCTGACCTAACCTGTCAGCAAAACAGTACATGAACTCTTCAGAAGGACATGCTTTCCCAAGTGAACAGGTGCTTTAGAGTTGCAACTGTGCGTCAAAAAAAAAAAAAACACCAACCAAAACTGCAGGCAGCTAGGAAGAATACCTGAAGAAAATCCTGATAAGCTAACTAATGCAGCAATACTGGTATAGCTTTCAAAAATCAGCTTTTAAATAAATGCCTAGGGGGGGAAACAAATGGTTCTTTAGGAATTTGTACTGCAGCGTATTTTCTCTATGTCGTGACTAGGTCCATGTTCTCCATTTAGATTAACTGCATGAAATAGGACCAACTTCTAACCCTGAAGTCCATCACACAAACTTTATCAGTCTGTTAAGAATCATTCAAGTGTTCTTACATGCTGTGATACTCTTTGAAGAGGCAGAGCTGGTGGCAGCTGCTCACTGCAGCCTACAGAGTTCGATTTTGTGCTCTGTTCTATGGGGTGACATGAAATAGACACACTTAATTCAACTGGCCAAGTCTTCACAATCAGAGAAAGAATCACTTAGGCTGGAACAAGCAGCAGATGGTAACAACACATCCCTGGTTCTCCTCGCCTGAAGCACCCTCTCCCTGCATCTGAGCTACAATTTCTTCTGCAGGTGAGAAGGAAGAGAGGGGAGAGCAGCACCCACAGGAGTTGATTACTTGTAGTTTGTGGCAGTGCCTCCTTACTTTGGTATGTCCTGATTTGCTAGTGTGGGTAAATCTAGAGCTGTTGGATAACATATATATTTCAATGTTAAACAGTCCTTTGAGAATGTAATAACTGAGTAAAAAGTAAGTAGAAATGGACATTCAAACCAATGATTTGTTGAAGATTCAAAAGGACTGTGGTAGGACAGAAAAAATAAAAGTAGAAAGTCATCTAAGTCCTTTTCTTCACAAAAGGTTGTTCTATACTTAAACAACCCCTCACATTTACTCAGCCTCCTTTGATGCAATTAAGTGTACTAGTTCTCCCAGGTACAGCTTCTCTACAGATTCCTTCAGTATATACAGGGCTTAGAGAAAATACCAAAGAGAAAGTTAACCCAAATTCCCTCATAATTTTGTCATTGGTCAGATTTTATAGCTCTCTGATCACATTTCCAATTTCCGCTGCATTCTCTTCAATTGGCCCATATTCCTCTTGATTTGTGGTAGCTGGAAGCAGACACTATTTCTGCAGAGACATGTTAGAGAACACTTACAGTTACAGTTTCAGGCAGCTATGCACCTAACAACAATTTCTTCTAACTCATGCCTCCCAGCTTGCTCATAAGAATAACTTCTAAAGTTTTAACACCATCTTAAAAGTCAAGGTATCTATTTCCTATCCTTTTATCTATAAAATATCTTAACTCATTGCAGGAGTAAAGTAGAATGGTTTGACGGGATTTTTCTTGACTACCAGTTGTTACTGTGCATTTACCAACTCCTTGATATTTGAGGTTTTTCCCCTTCAGGAACTGAGGTTCAGCTGGTTTACAACAACTCTTTTTAACAATATTAAGCATAGCCACAAGATTTAACTTTTTCCAGTCAACCGAAACATCTCCCAATTTTCACGAGTCCTCAAGAAAAATGAGAATTCACCTGTAACTGCTTCAGTAAGTATCCTAGGGCAAAGTCCAGTAGGACTATTTTGTCTAAGACTGATTTACTTAAATATGCAGCTGTTGTCCTGTTTGGTCTTTGAATTGAGTCCATTTGCTTCATTTCTCTTTGTAATAAGTTTGCACATTCTATCTTCTTTCATTTTCAGCTTTCATTCCCCACCCGAGCCTCTTTAAATTCCCTTCACCACAAGATCAGCATGCAGGCTGAGACTCAGAGTGCAGCACAAGCCTTTTGGGCAGGCAGCCGTCAATGAACAGACTCACAGGAGTTTGTGTGCCAGCCTTTGAATAAGGGCAATGGCTTGCATTGGAATGCATGGGCTGAAGTAAGCCATAGTAGTTTGTTTATGCCTACAGTTGGCTATAAGCCCAGAATAAGCTTTTTAGGACAGAGTAGGCTGTTGTAAAGTGGAGGAGAATGAAAGGCACACCAGAAATGTGATTTTACAAATTAGTTAGCAGTTCCTTACTAACAATGTAATCATATCTCTTACCCTGTCAGAATAGCCACTGCTGGACTGTAGGGTAGGTAGACAAGGTAGATTGAGTGAACCCACAACAAATTGGCACATTCGTGGTAGCTAAATTCAGATTGCAAGTATTTTAAGTTTTCACTCAGCTGTATCTGGAGCCCTACCTAGCCTGCTTATATTGTTTTAAAATCTCCTTATGCCAACACCACAAAGCTGTTACCTGGTACCAGCATCATCTGAGGCTGACGATGACAGGCTGGTCACAGCTCAGCAGGACACCCACCTGACAAGATCCATGCCTAGCAGGGCTTCAGACTCAGAAGCTGGTTCTCTGGTCACGACAGCTTCGTTAGCTACACACACTCCATGCTCATTAGCTCCCATTTCTGCTCCCCAAAGCCAGGAGGGCCTGCTCAGCACCACAGCGTGAGTCTTGGGCACCTGCTCGATCTCGATGTACGTGCACTGCAGAGACAGCAGGGAGAGAGAAAGTTAAACAATCACTGCATCTACTGCTGTGACTGAAGCAACACAAGACTTCAATGTACAGAAAGGACACACGTTATTTAAAAGGTCCATGCTTTGTGAATGAACAAGGAACTTGTTTAAATAACATTTAAGTGTCACGTTTGAACCTTCACATCCTTATATTGCATAAGGCTGGGAAAGTACATGTGCTGATGCTTGCAGGCTTCCAAGAGACAAGCAGGACCCAAGTGCTAGTGGAAAGCAGCAGGAGACAGACTGTGCAGTCACATTAGTAAAACACAGATTATACCTGCACATAGTAACAAAATCAAGCCATTCTACCACCTCCCTAAGCATCTCCAGTGCTTTATTACATACATAGAGTAACAATGGTGACTGGGACAAAATACATTAGAAGGCTTCCTCCTCTCCCTTGCTGCCTCCCCTGCAGCTGCCCCAACAGAGAGACAACTAGTAGAAAGAGGAAAAAAAACAAGCCTTGAAAAGATGGTATAATAAACCACTCTGATAAACAGTCATGGAAATAAAACATGGGTATTGCTGTTGCTTAAACTGGTGGTTTTACTATTTTAAATGGTCTACTTTAATTAGGTGTCTGCAAATGTACTCTGACAAGTCAAAAGCACAAAGGAAGGCTGCAGGGAAGTCATAGTAACTGCAAGGAAGAAAGAAATTATGTTGCCTTTCAAATACATTTACTTGCCTTCAAAACAAGCACTGTTTTCCCAGACAGCATGGATGCGAGCTCGATCTATTATTGGTTTGTGCAAACCAAAACCAAAGAAATGGGCTTTACATTTTACTATTAAGTTCACATCAAGTTTTTCACGGATCAAACTGCAGAATTTGCTTTTGAGAAACCTAAAGTTGTCTGTATTTATGAGGCATCTCTTAAGGTCCAGCGTTCCTATTGTAGCATCTTCCTTACAGGAAGTAATCTGCAACAGTTTTTTGGAGGAATATCTGATCAGGTATATCAAAGTAAACAGGATCATCAGAAAGGACTTGTGGACTAAAAGTTATTTGCCTTGTTTGCCTGCCTGTGTCAAAAATAAAATCTAAAGCCAAAGAAATCAGTCCAAAATTATCAGAGCTTTAAGAAGCTTTGTTTTTTTCCTAGCCTTTCTTTCTGCCTTTAAGGATTATACAGCATGATCACCTTCAGCCTCCAGTCTTGAGCAATGATTTTTGCAGTAATAGTTCCTCTAGCATGCAATTAAAATATGTAGTAGACTATCTTTGGTCAGAAATGGCATTTTCAGAGTCCTTCACTTTGACCATGCAAGAGGGATACAAGAAATGAACTTGCCACCTTCATTAGGTAATGTGTGCAAATAGGTCAAAACTAAACAAAACAAAAAACAAAACACCACAAAGCAGAGGGGCAGTGAACTCTTTCAGTCTAAGGACAGGCTTAGGCAAGAAGATCCTGTCAGGGATAAATACTTGCTGTATTTTTAGGAGAACATCCCTAATATTTGACCAGGCTGTTTGACCAAACTGCTTATACAGTAATACACTCTGATTTTGTAGAGGCAAATTCCTCATCTATCAAGGTGCAACAACATTTGGCACTGTCCAGGAGCTAAGATCTGACTAATAAGAACTCTTTATACAGTTCACCCTCTGCTTCATTGTGCAACTAAGCCATGCCATAGCTGACATTTCTCATCAAAACTCCCCCCTCTCCCTTTGAGCTGTCAGCAAACAAATCTCTTTTTTGACATTCTGCACTATTTTATTTCAGAGCTTCAGGTCAGTGCTGTTTGGATAAGCACCTGAAATACGTGTGTGAACAGGGAATAACTGTACTTGCTGGATGTGCAAAGCGGAGCTGGAGCAGCAGGGGAGGATTGTATGTGAAGACAACACCAGAGCAGCTCTCAGGCCCCAGGTCTGCAGCCTCAGCCCCCTACATGTCACAGGTGGTCAGCTGCCTGTAGCCATCCTGCAGAGCCACCCATGAACCTTCTCAGTCCTACAGCAGAAAGCAAAAACTAGACACAGCCTGGAGGAGACTCCAGTGCTCCATACACCCACACTTGCATAGCATTTTCTGGCTGAATAGCCCCATTATACAAGCTTGCTTACACTGACTCTTTGATTTTTTAGAAGGAAAAATGATAACACTCTGAAAAGTGATAGTTAAGCTAAAAAAATGCTGAATGCCTTTGCTCTGCAAAATGTATTTGCAAGGCTATCCTTGCTACCAATCACTTATTACTTGGTGTCTCATTCCAAAAGCAAGCACTACCAAAGCCGCTATTCATTGCAAAGATCTTAGTGGTATCAGTTGAGAAAAGGGAAGGAGGAAATTGTTTGTTCCTGCTTCAGGAATCCAGAGCATTCTGAAAAAAAATGTGGGTTTGTTTTGTAACTATGTAATCAGAGGCCAGAAAACATCCACAGGCAGCACTACACACCTCAAAATACAGCTGTCACTTTCAATGTTGCTTCTTTATGTCCCCCAACCCAGAAAGAAGTGAACATGGAGCATATTTTCATGCTATATTCCATTTCCATACAATAACTCAGGTACATGGACGATGTTCACACCTTGCCTTATTTATATAAATTGTCTCAGAAGACCTAAATAACAGAAAAACCATTTCAATCTGACAGTTGCTGACAGGTCTTGCAAAACTACTATTGACTTGATTCTTATTCATTTGTCATGGTTATTGACTGCTGAATAAGTCTTGATGACATTTTACCTTCCTACTATAATTATTTACTCCAGTAAGCATAAAAGTGGGCACTCAAGGGGATTTATGTATTAAGGCAGGAGCTTCATTCATATTTATAATAATAGGTATGAGCTTCTCAAAACAGTAGGGTCCAGAGTTGACAGTAGATTATTAATTTTAAACATAAAGCTTCATAACTTCACCATCTCCCCCCTAAAATAACATCAGAAAACGCTTTCCCAAGAAACAAGAGGAACTGGGCTATCCACTTGTAGCCAAGACACATAAGTTGCAAAGGTAGGTCACCTAGAGCCAGACACTGGATTTGCAGCACAGCAAACCACTGCTTCTTGTTCCACAGAAACCAGGACATATCCTTTCAAGAGTTAAAAGGAAATAGTGGGGGAAAGACAGCACTATCCACCAAAAAAACCTCACTGGCCACTAGATCTCTAGAAACAGGAGCTCGGATGATGACAGGATTTCAAAAACAGGCAAAAATTCCAAAATCCCTCTCCCCCCTCCTCACCCCACAGACTTGGCAAATCCCTCCAGCACAACAGCAGAGCAGCCTGTTCCACTGAGCACTGGGCCAAACTAGGTAATGACAAATAAAACAGGCATCAGGTACTGCTGTGATGCTGTTTGTCACTAACCCTCTCTTCAAAATTCCTGAAATGTCCAGCCTCAGCTGGACTAACATTTTTCTTTGAGTATGAATGCTAAAACCAGAAAATACTGACAAATTTGGTGGCAAAGGCTGAGAGTGAATGGTGTCAGGCTCCATTGATTTTCTAGAATTCAAGCCCTGAAAGTGGCATAGCTGGAATCTTGCCCTGTGACAGTAAATTCCCATTAGAAAATATAAAAGTGGAAAAGAGAGACCTCACGCACAAGAGATGCAGCCAACAACTTTAAAGAAAATTGAACAGGCTGGGAACTAATGATACTTCTTTTATTTCACTTACAGTATCAAGAAGAAAATCTTATCAAGGGAGTTCTAAGAATAGCACAACGCACGAATGTATGTGCCAGCCTAGCTAGGGCATGCAGATAAGTTGGAGGTATTCCAAAACTAGACAGGACAGTCATAAGCACAAGAAATTTCTTCTTTCATTAATGAAAAGAAACTATTGTGCAGTTTCTACTGTACCAAGGCTGCAGAAGCCCAATTCCTAGCACTGTCAGTCAGGTCATTATGAAATATCAATGAAATCACATAGGCTTCAGCCCTGGACAACAAAGGCAATAGTCAGGGAATGCTTTAGAAAGAAATGATCTTTGAAAAGGGCCATTAAGATTCCAGATACAAAAGAGATCCCACGCCAACCCCCCTTCCCTGCCATCAGATTCTGGCTTGAACTTGGCATTAACTCTTTGCTTCACTGCTTCAAGCACTGCCATACCATAGCACGTATCTGAAAAAAGGCAAAATATCTGTATGACTGCAGCAATTCAGTAAGTTGCACAATGCCTGCTTTTTTAACCCCTTCCAAAAGAGAAGTGCAAAAAACGTGCTGAGGCAGTCTCACAGCCTGCTGCCTCCCTGGCACCAAGACATTGAGACTGACAGCCTGGTTGGAAAAGGATAGACAGGTGATTGATTCCACAGGTGACATGGGCTGCCTGGGCTTTCCCTTCATGGTGAAGTGGCAATCTGGAAAACCAGGATGGAGCTGTTCAGGGAAGCCCCTCACACTATCTATTGCAGATGTGCCTAGCAATGAGCTTTACAGACAATTCTTCTGCTGCTTATCTACAGAAACAAATTTAGTAGAGCTCAAAAAAGTGGGAATAACCTCTCCTTGGAAAGAGAAACATGCAAGCAGTAGTGCACAATACAAAAGAGGTGGTTAGCCAATGCTATTACCACTGCTTGCTTACACAGTAAGCAGAACTATGGTACAGAGTGCAAGACACCTGGATGATTTTACCACACCCATTAAACATGGCCATGACATCTCCTGCAGCAGCAGAACTTGTGCCACAGTGAAGGGGACAGCCATGCACCAGGGTAAATCCAGCCTAGGTACCTCTCAAGTAGACAGCCCAATTCTGGTGCTCACATGGTCAAACCAGGACAGTGAACAAAGTCTCTCCAGCAGTAGGATGAATCCTCAGGTAGCCAGCTCTCAGAAACACACACTGAGGACACTCCTTGTGTCCTCACATTGTAGCCAGATATAAAAGCATTTACTAACTGTACAAATAGAAAGAAAAGCCATTTTCTGCCACAGTAAAGTGTCTCTTTCTTCTTCATATTAAGAACAGGTTTTTTTCACTTTTTAT